CTATACACTGGTGGTGAGTGGCCCGCTGGACCGAGAGCGGGTGGCTGTCTACAACATCACGGTGACAGCCACTGATGGGGGAATACCACAGCTCACATCCCAGCGGACACTGAAGGTTGAGATCTCTGACATCAATGACAATCCACCAAGCTTCCTGGAGGACTCCTATTCCATCTACATACAGGAGAACAATTTGCCAGGTGTGTTGCTCTGTACTGTGCAAGCCACAGACCCAGATGAAAAGGAGAATGCAGAGGTGACCTACTCCCTTCTGGAGAGGGAGATTCAAGGGCTGCCAGTCACCTCCTATGTCTCCATTAACAGTGCCAGTGGCAGCCTTTATGCTGTCAACTCCTTTGACTATGAGAAGTTTCGGGAGTTCTTTGTGACTGTGGAGGCTCAGGACAAGGGGAGTCCACCACTGAGCAGCACTGTGACTGCCAACGTGTATGTGGTGGACATGAATGACCATGCCCCTCACATTCTGTACCCTACCTCAACGAACTCGTCAGCAGCCTTTGAGATGGTGCCTCGAACAGCCCCTGCTGGCTACCTGGTCACCAAAGTCATAGCCATGGACTCAGACTCTGGGCAAAATGCTTGGCTTTTTTACCATCTAGCCCAGACTTCTGACCTGGACCTCTTTAAAGTAGAACTGCACACAGGAGAAATTAGGACTACCAGGAAGATGGGAGATGAGAGTGGTAGCACTTTCAACCTGACCGTGGTGGTCCGAGATAATGGAGAGCCATCACTATCAGCCTCTGTGGCCATTACAGTAGCTGTGGTGGATAGGGTTTCCAAAATCCTCCCTGACACTCAGAGACATGTTAAGAGCCCTCGGACATATTCTGAAATTACCCTTTATCTAATAATAGCATTAAGCACAGTGTCTTTTATATTTCTTTTGACAATCATCATTTTGAGCATCATCAAGTGCTACCGCTACACTGCGTATGGCACTGCATGCTGTGGAGGCTTCTGTGGAGTAAGGGAGAGGTGCCCTGCAGAACTTTACAAACAGGCCAACAACAATATTGATGCCAGGATACCGCATGGCCTCAAAGTGCAGCCTCACTTCATTGAAGTTCGAGGGAATGGCTCCCTCACCAAGACCTACTGCTACAAGGCCTGTCTGACAGCAGGCTCAGGGAGTGACACTTTCATGTTTTACAATACAGGGGCCCAAACAGGACCAGGGCCTTCGGGAGCCCAAGCAGCAGTGACTGACAGCAGGAACCTCACAGGCCAAAGTGGTCAGAGTGCTGGGAACCTGATTATTCTCAAAAACGAGGCTATTTCTCAAAATGAGGTGAGATAGTGGTAAGGGAGTCTTCTACAAACTCATGCATTTGTCGCATATCCCCCAATAACCTGTGGTTGGCTTTATTGAGTCATTAACAGTGGCAAGAGTTATCTGGTAAACTGAGTATATATAGTATCCACACTTTGATCATCATCTACTATTTCCTCTCTAGAAAAACAGCACTAAAGAATTGTTTTATTTTCCATTTTCAGAGGCATGAAGACTTGTCCATAAAATTGTTTGAGAAGTGAGGATTAGTCTTAACATTTAATGCTAAGGACAGATTTGTAGAGAAACAGAACAGGCCTTGGAATAGGGATTATGTTTTAGGGAGTAACATTATGAGACCCAAGGAGAAATGGCCTCTGCTGTATCATCTACAGGGAAATTTTTCTTTCGAAATCCTATAGGAGTGATGTTTCTTAAAAAGCTCTGAGGCCTCTAGGGGCTGTCATAGTCACCACTGTATGCTGTCTCTGTTTATACTCTGGACTATCTATAGTGGAAATTAATATTTCTGGTACTTTCACTGAACCTATGTGATAAGATCCTCTGGAAATGCATGTCACAGGTGATAAAGCTGTAATATTTAGACATCATACTGAAGCTAAAGTTTGCTTTGGCTGTATGATGTGGCAACTCTTCTGTAGGGAGCTGTCAGAGGGAGTGGATGATGGTAAGGCAGAGAGATTAAGTACCAATTTGTCTGGTTGGGCCAGGGAGGTATTAGAATGAGTGGATTAGGGGTGTGGGGGGATGGTGAAGACCAAGACAAGCTGGGATTAGGAGGAAGAGAAGGGAAAAAGAATTCTCTCTATAGCCACCTTTCTTGGCATACTCTGAATTCATTGTAAGAGGATTTCCCTGAATTTAGCTTAAATGCAGCCTGTAATCTTCTGATTTTCTGTTGACAGTTTCTATGGTTTTGATGAGATGTAAAGTAGCCTTTTCAAGTCCTTCATGTCTTTAAGTTAAATGACAGTACTTCCATAGCATACATTCATTTTCTGAATCTAAAATTTGATTTGCTATGGCTTCAAAAGGCTGGCTTGGAAAGTGGATGGCTTACCCTACAGTAAAGTGTACAGTCAGGTGTTAGTATATGCACTAGTTTTGAGTTTTAGGTAGATATAAGGCCAGCTTGTTTATTATTACGAAGAATGTACATAAATTATTAGAAAGTACATGATTATATAGTGTGTGTTTGTGTGGTGTGTTTGTCTCCGCATGTATGCTTGAAATAACAGAGATATGCTTTGTGATACTTAAAACTTGGATTTCAAAAGCCAAAATTTTGTCCCATTAATAGTGATGAATTGTTACCTTTCCAAATATCTACTTTGTAGAAAGGGCTTTTAGAGCTACTATACAATGTGTGAACAATATTTGTCTCTCCCCTATTTTTTGCAATATATTTTCATTGACATATTGCTGTATTTTTAGTAATGTCCATATTGTTGCATTTGAAGTTCATGGTAATCTTGAGGAATTTAATGCACAGGCACAAAAGTTCCCATTCCTGATTAAGAGTAGATTTTTCTCATTGACATTTCTGATAGATTTATTCATTTATCAGAAGTGCCTGGTGTTAGTCAATGCTGAGTAACCACAGGAGGCAGATTGCAGATTAAGAAAAACGGGGGAAAAAATCAAAGAGTTTCCAGAATTTTTTAGATCGTAGCATTAAAAGGGTTTAGCTTTAAATAAGGTTGCTGTAGACATTTGCTTAACAAATTCCCGTGAAGCCCTTTGGGATTGGAGTGGGCTGCAGGTGGTAAAGAGGCGTGAACAAGTCAGGCCAGGCTCAGCTTTGCCACCAGCTGTGAGCTGGAAGTTCAGAGGAAAGACACTGTTACCCTCCCTCTCCTGACTTAAAGCTTGGGGCAATTTGATATATAAACTATTTCTGTCTCACACTGACCGGTATGTTAATATGTACTTTCGTACACAAACATTTAATCTAGGGTGAAAATTATTTCAGAAATTGCTTGCTTTGGGGAGATTTTGCCAGGAAAATGCATGATTTTTAATAAAGGCAAATTTCTGCCAGGCACTTTTGGAAATCCAGTGAAGAGCCCCAAGATCTACAGCTCCAGAAATGTTTGCAATTATAGGGAGAGAGTGAGTCACACTGTTATAGTGTGGCAAGATGGGAACAAAAGTCACTCAGTTCTGAAAGTCGTCATTGCTGGATCAACCTGTTAAATTCCCATGTTGGGCTTTCTTTTTTTCCTACCTGGTTACTACAGATGGCAGGAGAGTCCTGGGGTACAATTGGTACCATGTGCCTACCTTAAAAGTAGATGGGAATTAGAGAGGAAGAGTAAGGGAATTTGTACTCACTAACCACCCTGCTATATAGATATATGTATATCATACATATATACACACATATATCTCATATTATTGAATCTTGAATATTCAAGATTATTCAGTATATTGAATATTATAATATTGAATATATATATGATTTCATTACCTGTAAGTGATGCATTAAATATTTGTTAAAATCTAGCATATGAGGAAATAAGCTCAGGGAGGTTAGGTAATATACACAGTCACATTGCTAGTGTTATTTTAAGTTGTATCCATCTGACTCCAAAAACTTTTTTTCAATGCTATGAGTAGACAGAAGTTCCAGTGTTTATATTCCCTTTGATATGGGATATTCAGGCATTTAAGTTATCACTAATTCACCTAGTCATATGTATTAATTGCTTTTGGAGAAACAGTAATTTCTTACATAGAAGCAGGTAACAAATGGGCATATCAGTGAGTTACTACTATTTTTTTTTTTTTTTGAGACAAAGTTTTGGCCTGTCACCCAGGCTGGAGTATAGTGGCGTGAATATGGCTCACTGCAGCCTTGACCTCCTGGTCTCAAGCATTCCTCACACCTCAGCCTCCTGAGTAGCTTGGACCATAGATGTGCGCCACCGTGTCTGACTAGTTTTTAGTGGTTTTTGTTTGTTTGTTTTTTGGAAGAGATGGGGTCTCACTATGTTGCACATGCCGTTAATATATTTGTATTTATTTACTTGCTTCACTATTGGCAAAGCCTGTTAAGATCTTTTGTTTCTATTATTTCACTGATTTTTCTCTTGGTGCTTATTAAACATCAGCATTTAACCCCAGACTCTAATCTGCTGGTAGATTTTACCCCCAGTGAGCTCATTTCATGAATCACTTATGCAGTGAGGATTCTGAAGTAACTATTTGGCAGTAGGGCAGAATTTCTCTTTGGAAATTTCTGAAATTGATACTGAATTTGGTTGGCACTCCCTTCAGAGTCTCCATAAAAAGAAACCAAAAATTTTTTTTTTTTTTTTTTTGAAATGGAGTCTCACTCTGTTGCCAGACTGGAGTGCAGTGGCGTAATCCTGGCTCACTGCAACCTCCACCTCCTGGGTTAAAGCGATTCTCCTGCCTCAGCCTCCTGAGTAGCTGAGATTACAGGCACGCGCCACTACGCCCTGCTAATTTTTGTATTTTTAGTAGAGATGGGGTTTCACCATGTTGGCCAAGATGGTCTCAATCTCTTGACCTTGTGATCTACCTGCCTTGGCCTCCCAAAGTGCTGGGATTACAGGTGTGAGCCACCATGCCCGGCAAAGGAAACCAAATCTTAAGGTAGATTCTGTGCTTTTGTGGTCGTGGTGTTGTGATTGCTAATGAGTCACTTTGAGTGCTCTAGTAGATTTGTCCAATAGCGTATCAGTGGGCCCAGTTGGCACAACATGTACAAATTACAAAAGAGTAGCAGAGATGAGTTAAGTTTGCGTTCACTTTCACTTATTTTAAAGCAATGTGTAGTCACCAAATCTTCAGTTATTTCTGCCACTATGTGTGCGTATTCACCCTAATTCCAGATATAGTGACCTGAAAGAGTTAATTTTTCTTTCAGTTTATTTCCCCCAGCACTCACTTTTCTAACTGATGACTCTATCCTGGAACAGAGTTTACACTCAGTGTAAAGTGACGTGGTAGTGAATTTATAAAAATTGTACAATGGTCAGAATAGACAAAGAAATCATATCTATGAACTTCCACTCCAGTTTTTCATCCTCTGGTAGTCACTTCATAATGACTGGGGCTGTTTTAGTTTGCAAACTTCATATCGGTCATAGGACTGTTCTTCTGAGAAAAAGTTTGTTTTCTTTGGTCTGAAGATACAATAATTTATTTCAATTACCTCCTTCCTCAGTTTTTGTACAGACTGCTGAGCCAGATGGAATTATGGCTGAGCTCTTCTCTGTCTCTTTATCTGGTACACATTCTGACTGAAGAAGAAATCTATTCATTGTAGCTTGAATGTCATTGGCCTACTGTTTCCTTCTGACCCAGGAGTGAGCCATCACATGGGCATCTGGTCTAACTCAGAACACTCTGCAGGGACACAGCCTGGCATATTATATGTTGCCTATTGGCATACTGTCTACTTGACAGAATAGCAAAGTCAGTTCTAGATACTTACCTTGGTTGCCTACCAATTTTTGCTCTCAATGAGAGGTCAGAATAATGTCAATTTGCAAATGTTTGAGGAACGATTCCTGTCACCAAACCCAGAGGTTTAGCTGAATATGATGGCGTTTTACAGGTTTCTTCAAATGTGGTTTTTACAGAACTTCACCTGGATCAATGTTTTGTGCATATGATAATATGACTATAAATTTAGCTTATTCATATAATATTTGGAGCAGTATAATCTATAACCATGACTTCAAAAATTAAAGGTCAAAAGGATTCTTTTGTTTTAAATCTGCTAACCTGAAAATTATACAAGGGTTTTTCTTTCAAGAATTTTAACTTGACAAATGCAAAGGAATATCCAGCACTGCAAAGGTAAAGAGAAATCTTAGTTCCTTGTCTTATAAGCACCACCAGTTCCTTTCTGGCCTTCCAGGGTCAGAACTCTGGGCTCCGAGGAGATACAACTGTGAGTGAGAGAGTAGCTGCTGTGCTGGCAGGCTATGCATCCAGAACTAAACAGACCTAGCACTTTCTGTTGTACTGGAACCCATTAGGTATGTTCTAAAGTTATGTTTATTTTACTTTCCTGCTCCTGTAAATTAGGATTTTAAATGACTACATTCAGAGGAAAGTATTCCACCCAGAATTCTCAAATGTATTACCTTTTTGTTTTATTTTATTTTAGTTTCTTGAGATGGAGTTTTGCTCTTGTTGCCCAGGCTGGAGTGCAATGGCATGATCTTGGCTCACTGCAACCTCTGCCTCCAGGGTTCAAGCGATTCTCCTGCCTCAACCTCCCAAGTAGCTGAGATTACAGGCATGCGCCATCATGCCTGGCTAATTTTGTATTTTTGGGTTTCACCATGTTGGTCAGGCTGGTCTCGAACTCCTGACCTCAAGTGATCTCTCCGCCTTGGCTTCCCAAAGTGCTGGGATTACAGGTGTGAGCCACTGTACCCAGCCCTCATTTTGATATACTAGAAGACCAATATGCAACATAATGATTATTTTGAATGTTATATTCCCTTTTGCCTTAATGAGCAACAGACTATGTATCCCTTTTCTGGTGCTTTGTAACCAATTACCACAAGTAATTGTTTTAAAACACCATCTATTTGTTATGTCACAGTCCTGTACCATGTGGCTGAGTTGTCTGCTCAGGTATTCTCAAGGCTGAAATGAACACAGCTGGGCTGTGTTCTCTTTTGCAGGCTCTTAGTAAGAATCCACTATTGAGCTCTTCAGATTGCAGACTGCAGTTGCTTGGGGACTGAGATCTCTGTTTTCCTACTTACTATTGGCCTGGGATCACTCTCAGTTCCTAGAGAACTGAGGACTCAGGACTCCTGTCCCGTGCGTGGTCTGCCCCATCTTTAGGGCTGGCACTGGAGAATCTTCCCTCACATGGAATCCCTCTTATGCTTCAGATCTCTCTGATTTCTGTCTCTGACCTCTAGACCCAGATTTAAAGAGCTCATGTGATTATGTCAGTTCCATCCGGATGATCTGCCTTTCTTAAAGCCAACTGTGCTACATAACATAATGTAATCATGGGAATAAGATCCATCACAATCACAGTCTTGGAGATTATTCAGGGTGTGCACACCAGAATATAGGGATCTTGGGGCCATCTTGGAATTCTGCCTATCAGTTTATATCAATGTTCACAAAATAGCACTATGAAAAATCTGCAGTGGATATATTCTTAGTAGAGTTCTATTAGGAAGGAAAAGGAGATATTATATGCAGTCTTATGTCCCAGAGGGCAATTTATTGATGTCTTCCGCATGGATTTCCATGGTACGAAGATAGCATATTATTTCATGGAGTAGTTGTGTGAGTTTATTAATAAAATAGGGTATTTTAAACTTATTTTACTTTAAATCTTAGAAGAAGTGATTCATCCTTCCGTAGCTCAAATATCCTATGTTATAAATCACAAATAATATCATTACAAGATAAATTAAATCTTTTTTTATAATTTTAATAGGAACTGAAGTGTATTCTTATTCTTCAGTAATACTACATCACCCATATGGACTACCTAATTGAATTTTTCTACATATGGAGTTTTGTGACCATTATTCTACCAAAAGACTAACCTTTGAAGCAATAGGACATATTGGAATTCTTTACCAATAGAAAGTAAGCATAGTCCTGGGAGGTACCATCTAAGTATTAAAGAACTAAACAATCACAGTTATTTCAACTATGATTGAAATTGTGATAGTAATATATGTCTTACTGTGTCAGATATATCAGTAGTCAACCTTTCAACTTGAATTTTTCCAAGTTTAATCAAGTTCTGGATGAAACTCATGTACATTTTTTTTACTTTTAGTTTTGTGTTGTTTTAAATCAATATCCTGAAAACTCAGAAGTAAAAAAGAGAAAGAAGAAAAATATATGTAATTTCATGTAAATTTATTTAAAACACAGACTTTTGGCTGGGCACAGTGGCTGAAGCCTGTAATCCCAGAACTTTGGGAGGCCGAGGAGGGTGGATTGCCTGAGGTCAGGTGTTCAAGACCAGCCTGGCCAACATGGTGAAACCCCATCTCTACTAAAAATTCAAAATTTAGCCAGGTACAGTGGTAGGTGCAGGTGCCTGTAATCCCAGCTTCTAGGGAGACTGAGGAAGAAGAATTGCTTGAACCCTGGAGGCAGAGGTTGCAGGCAGCCGAGATCGCACCACTGCACACCAGCCTAAATGGCAGAGTAGGACCCTGTCTCAAAAATAAATAAATAAATGAACAAATAAATAAATGAAGTAAAACACAGACTTTTGTGTTAAGGGGACCTAAACATGACTGTCAGCTGAACTCAGCAATCAGGCAAGTAATTTAATCTCTCTAAAGTTCAGATGTCTCATTTTTGCAATTTAAGTACAATAATGTTGACTTATGCATTATAGTTCATTTATTTAAACACATTTTAAAAACCTCCCAAATGCCAGAAGCCTGCTAGACTCTGACTATATAGCTATGCTTTTTTGAATATCTGAAGATATGCATGTGTCTAATGAGTAAAACAGATATAATCCCTTTCATAGAGTTTACTGACAAAGAAAGAATTAGGATACATGCAACAGTATGTAATAAAGTGCAAAATCTAGTACTGTGTAGCTACTTAAAACATATTATATGCTTTCTTCCTTTCCTTTTCCCTGCCTGATCTTATTGCCATAAGAAATCTTACTGTGATTTTGGCAAATGAATCTGAGAAGGATATTGTTGCTGATGGACTAGTATAGAAAATAGCAGCATGACAAATTAAATGTGTCATTGGGGAAGTGAGATTGTATAATGAACTGAGTTTCCTGGTCAGTCCTGCTAGAACTGTGCCTTTCAGCAAAATGAGTTTGATGATTTCATTCCAAAGATCAAGTTGCAGCAATTTTCATCATGAATGTTACCCAATCATGGAAAAATTGGCAACATTTCTCAGCAGATGTTACAGTCTTTCTTGAAGAAAGGTTCTCTCAGCTGACAAGCTAACGATAGTGCTCCTGATGGCGAGGGGAGAGATGGTGATGATGATTGATTGATAAAAAGTATTTCAGTCATATTTCCAGGTTTATAAGATGATTTGCAAACATTTTCTCTTGTTCCCTCTAACACTGCTAGTAGATAATGGAAACTCCTTTGGTCTGTAGATAATTTTATGCTATGTTATATGGAATATCCATAGCATTTTGTGAACTCAAAAACAAAGGAGGAAGCAGCTTGCATATGCGTATCTTGCTAGCAGATTGGTAGAATAGAGAGAGCAGTAAGTGTGTGAGGACCATTGAGGTAAATTGTCCCAGAGTTGTAACTTTTTCTGGGCCTTGACTTTGACTAATTCTCTGAATACCAAATATCATGTAGCCATTCACAAATCTGTCTGAAAATTGAGATGGTGATCATTTCTCTCCTGGGTGTTATGAAGAAATGTGTTTATTAAATACTTTGCATCCCTTGAAGGAACTATATGAATGATAGGAATAAGAATTATTGGTAGGTTGGAATGGTCTATTGATGTTACTATGGCTTTGTTTCTACCAAATATGGTAAGTATAATGTAGAGGAAAATACAAAATACAACTTTTATCCCCCATTTTTTCATTCAGCTATACCTCAATATTCAGTGACAGGGCCACCTTAATCTCCACCCATGAAAACACATCTAGAGGAGTGTCACAAGTTTTTCACAGTGACATTTTTGCTTACTGATACAAGACAGTGATGATGACTGATGATGTCTCAGTGATTTCTGAGTAGCTTCTAACCAGCGCGTAACTCCCCCAACAGTCTTTAAGTCTTTGGGTGCCTATATTTTCCTCTTTGTTCTCCCCCTTCAGACTGACAGTTTGTAGAGAGAGGGCAACAGATCTTTCCAATACACAACTGTTGCAAAATATAACAGGTTTTTCTTGGATTTCAGCTACTCCCTGTTAAACAATCAGAGCTTAGTGAACAGTGATTCAGTGAGGAGGGAAAGCACTCAGGAAGGAGCAGGAACAAGTACAAGTTTATGAAAAGGATTAGGTAGCAAAACAAGGTCAAACTCTGCAGTAGTTTGTTTTCCTCTCCCTGCTATCCCTCTTCAATCAGCAAAGAGGCTGTTATCAGTTGCTGGGGTTATGACTGGGCACATCCGCCCTGGGTCAAATATGCTGCAGTCTGCAAAGCCAGCAGCAGATTGCAGTCCTCTGCAGTCCAGCCAGGCCAGCAGAACTTGTGTAGCCATGTGCCCTGTTATAGCTGTGATACTGAATTGGGAATGGGGCACTTGAGGGCAAAAGCAATGAAAGCTTTTCCTTTCTCAAAACAGACTGTTCTTCCCGTAGTGTTTTAAGAACACAGATGTGTATTGGGCAAGGCAAAGCCAAAGCTGACCTTTACAAGATTATTAAATCTGGTCTTCCAGGGTATCTAATCTGTGTAAGGACTCTGATGAACTAATTTTCTTCTAAAGTGCTATGTATATAGATATTATCATAGAGTTACGCGTGAAATGGCTCATTCAGTACTTTTTTTAGATGCCCGGAAATATTTAATTTTAACAGCATCCCCGGGAGAGCATTGTCTTGTCATTTTAACAGAAAACTCTCTTTGTGATTTTGCAGCCACGACAGCCCAACCCTGACTGGCGTTACTCTGCTTCCCTGAGAGCAGGCATGCACAGGTATGTATTTCCCTCCTCGTTCACTCAGAAGTAACCTTAACTTGGTATGGCTCAGATAAACTGTGTCTCCATAGACCAGAAGCAGCTGTCAAAACTAAAAAGCTTCAGGTACTTTGCCAGGAAAATGCAATTTTTTTGTCCCTGTGTCTTTTCCTTGAAAGATTGCAAATGGTCAGTGCCAAATGCTTATCAAGTGCTGGAATATAGAGTCCTCTGTAAAAATCACAGAAACAGGCCGCTGTGTATTTTCTCCCATCAAAATTTCTACAGGGAAGTAATTTCAACCTCCTTCATCCCTCTCTACCTATGCTTTCTTTTCCTCCTTTAAAAACAATAATTAATACTCATGCTTTGAGACTTGGGTACATTGTACAATGTATTTACATACATGTTGTCTACCTTGTTTTTTTTTTTTTTAATCTCACATTGACTGTTACATCCTATTACCCTCAATAACTGATTACTGTTGTTGTTCATGTTCATGCCTATTAGAGTGTCCTCATCTTTCCCATCTGTTGCTATCTTATTGTTATCAATGACATGGGTTCTTCAGAGGATGAGCCATGTAAAGGGCTTTTATTGGATATCTGGAGACCAAACCTAGCTTACTTTAAATTAACCTAGAGTAACAGCATTAGTCTAAGACTCAGATTAAATATAATTTTGCTCTCTCTACTTTGTCTCTCTGACAGTAATTGATTAACTACCATTATTTCTGGAGGTGATCTAGTATCCATGCCATGGGGCCAAATAAAAGATTCATTATTTGCAAATGTCTTTGGAAACCAAATGGGAAGGACGAAGAAACAAATGATCACTGGTCAATATAGTGAAACCCCGTCTCTACTAAAAATACAAAAATGAGCCAGGCATGGTGGCGGGTGCCTGTAGTCCCAGCTACTTGGAGGGCTGAGGCAGGAGAATTGCTTGAACCTGGGAGGCCAAGGTTGCAGTGAGCTGAGATCCCGCCACTGTACTCCAGCCTGAGTGACAGAGTGAGGCTTTGTCTCAAAATTAAATTAAATTAAATTAAATTAAATTAAATTAAATTAAATTAAAGGGTCCTCTAATTTTGATGAGGATTTTCTTGGACATTTTCTCTTAGGATCCCACTTATTTCTTCCTTCCTTTCTTCCTTCCATCATTCATTCATTCATTCATTCATCCATCCAACAAATATTTGAGAGATTAATATGTGTTAGTATTAGACATACATAAATGAATACTGCACCTTGTTCTCTTTTCTCTTGAACAGTTTATGTTCTATCTCTGCTTGCCTCTAAAGGTCTCCCATTTTGTGTCTCACTCCCAGCAATGTTTTATGCTGAATTAGTCTCTTCTGAACTGAGATCTGTGAGTGGTGGTGATCAGGTTTCTCTAGTCTCAGGAAATACAGGGTGGGTCATCTATGCCTAAAAGATATAGAAAGAGTAAAATAGAAAATAAGGTTAAGAATTAATTGGATAGCCAAATTGGAACAATACTCCAATTATCAGAAAATAATTTTAGTGTGTTTTCTTCTTTAGAATAGAGAACCCGAGAACAAGAGAACCTACAGGAGAGTCTTGGAGCTTTTGAGAACAAGCCCTCCTCATCTGCTTCAGCATCGAGATGTTAAAATGGCTTAGTCCTCTGATGGGCTTCCTGTTAGATTTAGTGAGCACTACATGGCATTAATAAGAAACAAAATTGCCATAAAGATAGAACATGTGTATTCCTGGAATAGTATAGCAGGCAGGCAGTAAGTCAGCAGTGCTTCTGCAGTTTATGCAGGATGACTGCTCAGCAATAATTGCTTCAGTTCAAGCATGAGCAGAATGTGTTAGCTGCAGCCCTGTCTTCATAGATGTAAGCAATTTCTGAGGGTGGAAGAAGAGCTGGGAAAGCATTTATGATCTAACTGTTATCTGGGTCTGTGTGTTTATTCAGCTCTGTGCACCTAGAGGAGGCTGGCATTCTACGGGCTGGTCCAGGAGGGCCTGATCAGCAGTGGCCAACAGTATCCAGTGCAACACCAGGTAAAGAGCTGGGGGTCTCTCCATTCTTTCTTGGGTTCTAGAAAGTGATCAGATGACCTATTTTTGTAAAATCAGGAATGTTGATGGCTCTTTTTCTTTTATCTTTTTGTTCTTCCCTTTTTTCCGTACATACGTGATTTCCTTACATATATGATTATTTTGATTTTATACCTAATGCTTTTCAGGAGTTGAAAAAGGATAACATAAGAAAAGTGTGCACGTGTGTGTGTGTGTATGAAGTTTTTGGGATTTGTTTGTTTGTTTAAATCAGGTACCTTTCAAATGCTTAGGCCATCCAAGTCATGCTGAGAAGATCTGGTGGCCTTATGCACAGAGATGACACTGTTAACAAAGATCTTTTGGTTGAAGACTATGGAAACCCACCCAAAGTAGTAAGGAAAGAAAGAGAAAAAGTAGGAAAGAAAGAGAAGGAAGGAAGGAAGGAAGGAAGGAAAGAAGAGGAAGGAAGGAAGATGGTTTCTCATGGGAGTGGAAAGTTATCAGAACCAAGGCATTGTTTTGAGTTCAAGTCAAAGTTAATCTGCTTCTCTCTGCACATCAACAACATTCTGCAGACTGACTTTTAGTGCCTTGGCATGCATGTTGCCAAACATGATCGCCTCACAATTTCTTACTTTAGAGGAATAATAGGGACGCTTTCCTAATCCAAACTTTCAGGAAAGAGAACCTGCCAAGTTGTGTAAAAAACCTAATGACTGGGTGAGTATAGGAAAATTGCTTAAACTCACATTTCCTTGGTATCCTTATTCTTGCCCTATCACTAAAGCAGGGTCATGTAATAGAAATATGGCTTTGGAGGCCCATAGCTGTGGCAGTTTTCAGAAAGGGAAGATTAAGTGTTGGTAGAGACACAAAATATGTCTACTCTAATCCTCTATTAATAGAACATCATGATGATAATAGTAGTTACTAATTATTAAGCCATAATATGCCTTGATACTGTGCCAAGTACATTGTATGTGTGGTCTCATTTTTTCTTTAAGTCAAGCTTGCAAGGGATTTATTATATCTATTCTACATACGAGAAACTGCAGAGACAGAGAGATTAAACAATATACCCAAGTTCACATAGCTTGTGAGTGGCAGAGGGTAGGATTCAAACCCAAATGTGTTTAGTTTCAAATCCAAGTATATCTGGCACTTATATTCATAACATGGCTGGCTTGCAAGAATCCATTCAAATTCAAATACATATCTACATACATAACAGATGACATAGAATGTGTGTGTAAAAGGTTTTTTCCCCAAAATAATCAGATGCCTTTCAAATTATTAAGTAACATGCAGCTAAGGGCCCATTTTTTGCTGGCAACTCTAAGGGCGTTCATTGATTCTAATCAGCCAGGATTTGCTATTTATGGATGTTGCACAATTCAACTAAAAGTCACATTTGTCCAAAAAATATACAAGTTGAAGCAATTCATTAGAGAGCTAATATTGCCAGATTGCAAGGGAAAGAACACAAAATAGTTCATTGACAAATCTGTACCCTCAATGCCAATGACGGAGTGAAGACATGATGGAGGAGGAAGTGGTTTTAGATTGCCAAGTGTTGCAGGATGTGGAAGCATCTGGGAAGGTGAGAATTTCCCAAAGAAGCCACGTGAAATCATGACTTTCTACCTTGCCTTTGTTTCAGTTTTTCTTGCTCTTATGGAGGCATTGTAGGTCGACCTGGTGAGCCAAAAACTAACTTTGAATACATTCTCCCTCCCAGTGGTGATGCTGGTTGATGTGTATTCCTAGGTAAATGTGGATCAGGAACCATGTATTGATATTTCATACATCTGGCCAGGTCCCTCTTTCAGATTCAAAAAATGTTAAGAACCTATCTTTTTTACAGAGATAGAGGAGGGGATCTCCTTGTTCCCTTTTTTACTGTCCCAGCCCCTCTTGTATAACCCATTTTATCCAGAACTGTGCCTGGCTGCTGACACATGAGTCACAGTCTTCATGGACTATGCTGGATAGTCCATTACATCTTCCAGCTACTCCGTGGCAACCTAATCATACTTTTCAATACATACCTCTGCATCAATGATGTAAAGTTAAAGGGATTCTCTACTTTCTCCCCGTCTTTCTGGTACTTTTAGGCTTTTAAGACTCAATACATGTTCTGCACTGCTTGGAGGGAATATGGCATAAAGATTAAGATTATGATTTCGAGTCAGATTTGGGTTGAATTCTAATCCCAAGCTTACTTGCTGAGTGAGCATAGACAAACTGCCTGAATTCATATTTTCTTAATTACCCTTTCTGTAAATTGGGTGTAGCAATAGTAATAACACCTGTTTTATTGAGTTACTATGACTAAAGGAGAAAAAAGAACTGAGCATAGTGCTTGACATATAGTTAATAAATGTCTAATTTTTTTTTTTTTTTTGAGACAGAGTCTCACTCTGTCCCCCAGGCTGGAGTGCAGTGGCACGATATCCGCTCACAGCAACCACCGCCTCCTGGGTTTGAGGGATTCTCCTGCCTCAGCCTCCTGAGTAGCTGGGACTACAGGCGTGTGCCCCCAAACCTGGCTAATTTTTTGTGTTTTTAGTAGAGATGGGTTTCACCGTGTTAGCCAGGATAGTCTCAATCTCCCAACCTCGTGATCCACTCACCTTGGCCTCCCAAAGTGCTGGGATTACAGGCGTGAGCCCCTGTGCCCGGCCTCACTGATGAATTCTTTTGCTTTGTTGAGAAACTGTTCATTTATTTTCACAGTCTGCAAAAGCCTAAGATAAAGATGCCACACTCTGAAGGGATCAACAAGGGCATCACCAAGTGATGTTTTCTGCGGCATAAACAAATCAGGCATTAAATTGGTTAATCCTGATTACTGGCCCCTTTCTCTAGCCTCCCCTTTGTGTGAGCAGACCCGGACCATAGGCTTTCTTATTTCCTTTCAGCTTCCCTTGAGACTGAGCAGAGAGAGAAAATTAGCTAAATTGGGAATGCAGGGAATACGGTTGCAGCCTCTTCTTCAGATGGAAGAATGTGTTTGGGGGTGGGGAGGGACATTAAAGGGCCAGTCGCTCATGTTACAGCTCTTTTTAACTTCAGGAATACGAATGCCCTGAAGTGGTTTTAATGAATGCCCTCTTGTGATCAGTTCCTAGAGGCAATCCCAGAGGTTATAAAAGGACTGCCTCTGTCTGTGAGGGAACTGGTCTGGCTTCAGTAGGCCAGGCTGCTTTGTTATCTGTCATTGGTTCTTCCAGCTCCTCTTTCTACATTTCAGGGGATCTCAGGCCTTACCTAAGGCAACAGTACATTAGTTTTAGAGTGGGAAATTTTGAAATTTTCAAAATTTTGAAAAGTTTTGAAATTTTCTGAACTATTTTCAGAAAAGTTCAGAAAATTTCAAAACACACAGCACTGCAGAAGATAACATTATAGTTTCTCAAGACCCCAGGGGATCTGGGACTAAACAGCGAAAGATTAGTTAGGTAGGGGAAACCACTAAGGCAATGAGGCTTAGTTGGAGAACCTTGGTTTAGACAATGGTTCTCAAAGGAGCAGCAACACCAACAATACCCGGAAACTTGTTAGAAATGCAGATTCTTAGGCTCTATCCTAGACTAATGAATCAGAAATTCTCAGGATGGAGGCTGGGTGTGGTGGCTTATGCCTGTAATCCCAGCACTTTGGGAGGCTAAGGCAGGCAGATCACTTGAGGTCAGGAGTTCA